CTGTCGGCCTCCCTCAACAAGTCATCGTACAGGGTGACCAATGCCGTCTCTGTACCGTGGCATGGCCTGAAGCCCGACTGAAAAGGATCCAGGGCATCTGTTTCATCCAGATATGCCTGAAGCTGGTCAGCCACCACCCTCTCGACCACTTTGCTCATGAAAGAAACATTGGTGATGGGCCTATAATTGTCAATTTCGTCCGCCGCCAAATTAGATTTCTTTCTTATGGGCCTAATGAGTGTCTCCTTGAGGGCAGAGGGAAACCTGCCCTCAAGGAAAGACCCATTTATTATTGCAGTGGCCCATTCTGTTGTTATCGGCCTGGCTGCTTTGATTAGCTCCTATTATAATCCGTCGGGTTCTTCCTCTACCCATGCTCTAGCCTTCTCCTATGTGGCATCAGAGCAGCTGAGCCAATAGCAACCAGAGGTAGGAATAATTGGATGGTTAGATAGTTACAGAATTAAGCATATAGAAGCAGAGGTAGTTCTTCTATGGTCAATTGATAAATGATGAGTCATCACTTTATGTAATCCCATTGATTCAGTGGATCTAATATAGTTGAGACTACAAATTAGATTCAGGTTGTGGTATTTCCTGGGGCTGGAGATATGCTGGTCACTGCTTGAACAGTTTTCAAGTAGACATCTATGGCTAAATCTAATTGTTACTCTTAACCAGAGTAAGCCAATTTGAATCATTTGATTCATTTTGGAAGTGTTTTTGGAAATCCAGTTTGTAAATTCAAAATCCCATTAATGCAGCAAGTCTACTCTAGTTGGCTAACAACCAGAGTTAGGTCTAGTTTGTAATTTGATCTCTGAATCACACTGCTAAATATATCATAAGATATTGTTGTTAGAAGGGGTTGATTTAGTGGTTCCGTCCCCTTAGAGTGTGTGTGTGTTCAGTTGTTTAGTCGTGTCCGACTCTTCGTGACCCCATGGACCAGAGCACACCAGGCCCTCCTATCTTCCACTGCCTCCCGGAGGTCTGTCAATTTCATGTTGGTTGCTTCGATGACACTGTCCAACCATCTCATCCTTGGTCGTCCCCTTCTCCTCTTGCCTTCACACTTTCCCAACATCAAAGTCTTTTCCAAGGAGTCCTCTCTTCTCATGAGATGGCCAAAGTACTGGAGCCTCAGCTTCAGGATCTGTCCTTCCAGTGAGCACTCAAGGTTGATTTCCTTCAAAATGGATAGGTTTGTTCTCTTTGCAGTCCAGGGAACTCTCAAGAGTCTCCTCCAGCACCACAATTCAAAGGCATCAATTCTTCGGCGGTCAGCTTTCTTTATGGTCCAGCTCTCACTTCCATACAACACTACAGGAAAAACCATAGCTTTGACTATTCAGACTTTTGTTGGCAAGGTGATGTCTCTGCTTTTTAAGATGCTGTCATCTTAAAAATGCTTAAGATGCTTTTTAAGATGCCCCTTAGAGACAAACCAAGAATAGTCCATATAGATCTGAGTTTCACATGATTTCTCTTTTGCTAATTAGAAGACATCAGCATTCCTTTGAAATAATGGATATGATACTCTGAGAGAGGCAGGATGGAGCTTGGAAACACAACTGTTTGCACTACATTTCACAGAATCCCCGGACTGTCTTGGGATTCTGAGAATTGTAGTCCAAAGCAATTTTTTCAGGGTCTGAGACAGTATATATAACCCTTTCTTCCTATGCCATTTCCCCCTGTAAATTATCTGTAGGCTGCTATTAATTCCTTGGAGGGAAATAGATACAGAAGTATAGTCAAAACATGTTACTGAAATAATGAAAATAAAAAATTCAGTTTTGTTCAACATATTTTCTAATATTCTCTCTTTCTCTCTGTTGGTGTTGGTGTGAGAAAGACAGAGAGCGAGCGAGAGAGAGGTAGTCCTGTATATTTTGTATTTTAAAGCTACTTTATTTGTAATAAAACTTGATGGGAGTTACTTCCAATAAATAATACATTGTCATAATTTAATTGGTACTGCATCTTATTGTAATGTGCTGTAATGTGTATTATGTTACACAATACCTTGCTCTTAACTGCAAAATACCCACTGCAGTTCCTTTTGATTTTTTCCCCAGACCAAACTCCGACTCCAACCCGATTCCTAAAGAACTGTGAGGAAGTGGGCCTCTTCACCGATATAGACTGCTCCTTAGAGCATGAGTTTAGAAAGGCACAAGAAGAAGAGAACAATAAAAGGGTATGCCTTTGCAGAATGGAAACTTGTGTACATTTTCTCTCCTCCTGTATGCTGTGCTGTGAAGGCAGAGAGAAACTCTGTAACCTGAACGACAAGAAGGGGGAGAAAACCATTGTTTGGAAACTAGGTGGCACTATAGATTGTGACATGATTTGTAACTTGCATATATTGATAAAACTGAGTAGGTAACCTTGGTTAAAGTAACTGAAAGAGAGTTAGCTGACTTTTATTAGCATGGGCAGGCTATGATTACCAAGGCTAACAAAACATATTGCGGCTACTTCTCTATCGAGAACAACACACACACTTTCAAAAGTCCCATATGTTAGGACTTCAGCTCTAATCCCCTGCACATAATTAAATATTTCTATCATAAGGATAAAAAAAAGGAAAGCTAATGATTGTTTACTTTTAAATGGATACTTTTATGGTATGTTATGATTTTGTATTACTTGTTGCCACTTTGGGACAAAAAAAAGATGCAGCTATCACTGAAGAATTTAAATCAAAAGAGGAGAACTGTCATTTATAAGCACAGTGTAATATTGTCCCTTTTGTTTGTAAGGGACTGTGTGTCTTAACATTGTCCTTTAAAAAATATGGTTGTGATTTTTTAAAAAATAAATAAATCAGTGTTTGCAACTGCAGTAGCAGTGGCTATCAACTGAATGTGACACCAGACTACTGTATAGCTAGCATTCTGGGGAATGTACTGTAGTGTTAGGTGTATGAGTGAATTAAAGATACAAGATAGATCAGAGAGCAAATGAGAGCAACGTTTTGGAATCTTGTTAACAACTCTTTTGGGCACAAATATGGGACAGTCCAGGAAACATTAGTATACCTGCTGATGTGAAAGTAAAGTCCCGTAGAACTTTGTGGGACCAGAGTCTGGAAGAGTTACTTTTGGGGTCTATTGCTCCCGCAATTCCCCAGCCAAACAAAGCACGCTGACTAGCATTCACAAATAAGTAAAGTCCCGTAGAACTTTGTGGGACCCGAGTCTGGAAGAGTTACTTTTGAGGTCTATTGCTCCCACAATTCCCCAGCCAAACAAAGCATGCTGACTAGCATTCACAAATTGATACCAAGCAAGGGAAAATCCCAGAAATTGACTCTTTTTTTCATCAGGTCACCACTTCTCACTTGGGAAAATCCCAGAAATTGACTCTTTTTTTCCCCCATCAGGTCACCATTTCTCACTTAAATGCAAAGCAACTGCCAGGGCTGTTTTTTGACAAGTATGAATGGTAGTGAGCACAAGAGGGTATCCTGTACAGCATCTTGACTGCTGTCATTGATGTTGACAACATTCAGCCTGCCTTTTGATATGTAAAGCTTAATATTCTTTTGCCTGCTGGCAATGCAGCTGTGATATATTGAATCAATATAGGCCACTTCCAGGCATTCTGAATTGTGGATTTAGAAGCACAATATCCCATATTCAGAAACCAGAGGTTTTTTTAAGACTTGAATTTCCTGGCTTTTAAAAGTAGAAGTTTAAGTATACATACACTACACACAAATTCCATTAGAAACTTCCCTCATGTAGAACTACCCAGTGCTAGGGGATCCCAGAAGATGAGCATATGATTTGTACTGTGGTTGCTGAGAGAGGGCAGAAGCAAGAACAGCTGGGATGTGGCTGTAGTCCCCTGGTGCCTAAAGGACTACTTTAGAGTTATTGAAATATGAAGCAAGAGTGTAAGTAAGCGCAGAACATACAATGGAGAAACATATACATCCTTTGACTTCTTAGGTAACCTAATGTTGCCATGCCCACTCCACAGAATGCAGACTAAAAAGCTATTTTCCAGTTTTTAAGTCCTTTCCTTGAGGTAGCCAGTCTGAGGAAGAAAAGCTATATCAAACCAAGAGCTCTGTGAACATGTTGTGTGCTTGTTTTCCAAAAGATGCCCCCTCACCTTCTGATTATTTTTTAAAGAGCTGGGAGTTAGCAAAGATTGTCAGTGGAAACCAAGATCAAAAGCATCCATACTATGAGAATAATGAAGAAAGACCGGGGGGGGGGCATAAATTCATTTGAAATGTGTTGCAACAAAACCTTACAGATAGCATAGAAAGGCAAATAAATGGGTGCTCAGTCAAGTTAAACCTGAACTCTTGCTAGAACAAAAATTAGTAAACTAGGGCTACAATATAATGAAAATACAGAATTGAGCAGAAAAGACAATATTTCTGGGAAAAGTGGAGGGGGACAGTAGGAAGAGAGGAAGACCTAACATGAGACAGATTGTCTCAATAAAGGAAGCCATATCTGTTAATTTGGAAGACCAGAACAGAACAATAGAAAAGACAATATTGCTTGGAAGGGGTGCAGTAAGAAGAGAGAACAACCTAACATGTTGGTTTTTCAAGATCTGAGCAGATCTGTCAATGATAAACGATTTTTGTGGTCATTAACTCATGTAACATCAGAAGTGACTTGATGGCACTTAATTACCAAACAGTTGCATAGTGACAAGACAGATAGAATGGTTGAGACTATGGCAGGATATAGGCACCATAGCTCATCGAGTCTCAAAGAAAAAAATTCACATTTTAAATGAGTGATCTTCTGAATACAGTATTTGTTCGGTAACCTTTTTAAAAATATCTTTTAAAATATTTTTTACAATCCAACACAGAATCTCTTTGCAAGCAGGAATTTCTCTTTGATCAGCGAGGAGTTAAAAATACAATTGACTCCTGAGAGGTTCAAAAGTTTGGATTGCACCAGATGTGGGGCAGATTTCTCCTTTAAAGAGTTGTGTCAGGAACCTGGTCTCAGAAATCCTGAGAGAATGTTGACTGAAAGCACTCAGGGCTGGGACAAACACAACTGGCCTGTGCTTTCGGAATGAAGAAATAGATTGTGTAATGCAAAAATATGCCTTGCTAATACCCTGGCGGTACATGGAAAAATGTCCCCCTTTCTGGAGGTCTGTCACTCCATTACATCCTTTAAAGCAAACCTGGTTTTTTACTGCTTCCATAACAGCTGTGAACTTTTCTTGGCCTGTAATTCTTTCTTGACCATACATTATACTGTATTATCTGCATGACAAGCCTGTACCCTACATATTAAAAACAGTCACTGTTTTTCCCATTTAAAATGTCTTTCAGCACCTACAGCCCCATTTCTTTCCAAATAAAAAAGTGGGTGGGACCAACCATTCTCTTTCAAGATAAACAAGATTGGTTTTTTCAGTTTATGCAATCTGTTTTAAGTCTGGAAACATTTAGGGTCACTTATTTCTGAATGGGGAAAAGTTTTACTTTTAAAAATTATAACCCAAAACTCATTTTTCAAAACAACCCCAAATTTGGCACAGAAAAAGAGCAGTCTGCTATACATGTGAAAGATGTAATGCTGATTAGAAATCCAGTGTCCAAGTTATCGTATTTTGTTTGGGCTGCCCCCCATTTTTAGAATTGCCTTGTAGAATGTTGATTTGCTCTGCTACACAGCTGTAATGCACTGTTGTGCAGCTATAATCACCATCATATTAGAACTGCAGAGCTGAAAGGTAAACACGCCTTCTTTGTGCAATTGAAAACCATGGTTGGGCTTGCGAGTATATGCAAGATTCCTTTGCTTTAATTAATGTGCTATCAAAAGTCAACTCTGACCGATGATGACACTTTTCAGGGGTTTTCCAAGTAGACAATACCCAGAAGTGGGTTACCATTCCTTTCTCTTGGGGGTGCCCTAAGGCTGGCTCTTCTCACCAGGGGACATGGTGAGGAACTGAACGCCCAACCTTTGGTTCCACAGCCAGATACCAAAGCCACTCATCTAGCCAGCCAGCTTTCACTTTCATTCCACGAGATCAATTATGTTTAAAATTTGCATATTATGTAAGAGCATTTGTTTTAGGTGAAATAGCTCCTCTAATATAAATGGATAACCAGCACAAAAGAGAAACTAGGGATAAAATTGTGACTTGTTGTCACATAGGGAAAATAAGTCATGGGTACAGTTGCAGTGTATAGCTTCTTGCTCCTTGGTTCCAGATTCCAGCATTCTGATCACAGAAAATTAAAACTGTAGCAAATTACATTTGGTAGTAGAAAATGTAGAACAGAGGGCTCTCTGGCATCCAACTGAAAGCACCATCCCTTCATGACTGTAGCCTGTAACCAGTGCTTCTGCCTTACACAGAGTGTCATATAGCCTCTGTAAAGGGAAGGGGCAAGGTAGAACAGTGTTGGCAGATCAGGTTATCATCCGAGCCTGAAGCAACAGATTTTACATTTAAGCTGATCTGAGCATAAAGTATCCAAAGCATTTGTCATAGGTTATATTTGCAGGCACATGACCTTTCCTGCCTCTGGAGAAAGAAGTGCTGGCAAAATGACTCAAGAGCTGTGAATGCATGCCTGAAAGAATAGCGCCCAAGCTGGGATGATCAGGATTGCTTTCCTACACAACAAATGGACTGATTCTGTTAAGCAGCAGAGTATTGAATCTTGCCTGCATTCTGTATATGATGCCGGGGGGGGACCCCAAGCATCATCAACTTGGGACAGTACAAGGTATATGTTTAGTATGATGGAGGCATCAGGTGGGAGTGTCTCTGAAGTCTTCTGCATAGTTTCTTTTTTGCTAGTTGAAAGCAACAGCAGTAATTAAATATTACTGTCGCTATTGCAAATGATAATGATAAATAATAATTAATAGTAGCAGAAAATATAATATTCAGATTCTTATTCTTAGTCTTAATTTTGTCTGTATAGAAGCTTAACTGCCATTGCTTCCCATGTCTAAATCCCTTAGCAGGATATCTTCCTGTGATCTAGGACTCATTGTGAGTGTTACACTGTCTAAAGAAGTGAACTTTTCCATGAAAGCTCACATTAAAATGTAGCAGTTAGTTCTTAAGGTGCTACAACATTTTTGTCTTTATTATTTTTTTATTTTTTTTGTTCCGTAGTTTTTAAGGTGCTACAACATTTTTGTCTTCTGTATTTTTTTTTAATTTTTCGTTCCATATTGG